CCATCAAAGTTTAATGGAGATTTCATTTGTTGACATTCCCTCGGTGAGAAGCTCACTCTCTTCACCTTGTGCTGTGATGTGCAACTCTGTTTCCCTCTGTGTATATATCTGCATTGACGCTCGACCCGTGTGTGAGTCTGTCTGTTATGAAAGCAAACACTCGGTATGGATAGAAATGTTTTGTGCAACTATTGTGACAATTTGATGAGTGAGGGAAGGATACGGAGTCTCATCTGTCTCCTGTTTCACTGACATGTGAATTATTTTGGGAAAATCTGCCTCGAATGTGAATAGATATTTACTGACTGCAGCTTTTCTCATCACTTTGAATCCTGCTTTAAAAGACAGATGTACTGTATACGTGCAGGGATTCAGGCCAGAGGAAAGCAGAAACAGTGCTCTGGTTTGGCGTGAGCGTGCCTTGGCTTGGGACCTCTGAAATCCTTTGTGGCCGGGGCATCAATCGGACATTTTGGAGCTCCTCTTTCTGGCTGACACAGCGAGCCAGACCGGATTAATGAACAAGCTTATCCTGATGCCACACGGTACTGGCGGCCATTCTTGACTTCCTCACTGAGGATTCCCACTCATGTAATCTTGGGGAACCCATTAGGATTCTTCGAAAGTATCAATAAGAAAAAGAAAGACTGAAATATTCTCATTTGTATTTTTCCCATCTCTCACTTAACTATTCTACCCACAAGGATATTTGTGTTCCTGATTTTGATGTCGACCTCAAGAAGCTCTCGAACAATAGCCTGCAGATCAGCTCAAGAATTGTTGGCCCCATTAGCCCCGAGCTTTGGATTTTATTAATATAACATGGAATGGTGCAATGTTTGTTTAGATGTGACATACCCTTGATAATAATCAATAGGGATATTCCAACCTAGACGTTGTGTATCAATCGATATTGACAACTGCTGTACTTTTACTTTCGAGGTGAAACAAAGTATACTGCACACTCCAACCCAGTATTTCAACATACTGGAACATCTCTACATAAAACTATACCATATTATCTACCAGAGGTTCTCTGACGTTGACACCAATCCTCTCCTCAGAAGATGAGGTCAAAAATGTGATTAGTTTTGACCTCACTCACAAAACAACTTTTCCACTGTAGTGGGGCTGAGGGTTATGTTAGCTTTGGGTGTTTTCAGTGTATTTTACTTACTGGAAATTGTCAAAAACATTTATTATATATGATATTTCCACCTGGTTATCATCTCTAAATGTTTTTCTTAAATGTATTACCATGAAAATGTACTTACTCCTGATATAACATGTTGACATGTTTAGTTACATCATTGCAAGCTTCAAACCATTTCTAAAGTGCAGCTACAGAGAGGTGCGTCGTCAGCTGTCTCTTCACACAGGAATAAAAGTCTCTTCTCCATCTTGATTACTTGGGACGGAAATGTGAAGGTGACGGAAGCCTTTAAGTCACTTCTCTCTTGACCTGGTGCAGTTGGCCTTAATGTGAAGTGATTATTCTGCACATTGTCAGCCTGCATCACCTGCCAGTGAGACTCTGCTCTCCCCCTGTCATAAGGTGGGCCTGCACTTAAGGGACAGAGTAAGTCACTCGACAGGATCCCTGTCAGAGGACGAAGTTGTGTGTGAAATTTTGGCTCCGTTTAAAGGCACTTCAACAGACGAGCCACGATGAGCTCCTGAAATTCTCCAGACTGCCAAATACACAGAGAGCGTCGGTCTTGCGCGTCTGTTTATGCATGTTAGTGTTATTATACGTGTTTGCAATTCTGATGGTGTCATGTGAGCACTGCCACCTTTCGCCCGCTTGCAGTGCTGGAACCTGAAACCTGCATGCACTGAAGTACACACACACACACACACACACACACACACACACACACACACACACACACGCACACACACACACACATTATTTAATCCGGAAGGTACCATTGAGAGTCAGGGAGCAATGAAATAAAACGTTTCTAATACATATTAAAAACAGACACAAATAACACAAAAAAATAACATAATAAAACACAGCAAACACAGATTACTAGTATTAGAAATCAAANACACACACACACACACACACAATTTTATCGCTTCCAGTCCACTCCTGTGTGCCTGAAGCTCACCTCGGAAAACATCTTAAGGATTAAGCTTTACACTTTAAATATAGAAAGGGATTCGCCAATGAAAACCTACATGGGGTTTAAAGAGAAAACACAGACATCACGTCCGAATGCAGACATGATGCCAGCATATTCCAGTTTGTTGCAAGCAAACATGACTCACTCAAACGGCCTCATAAAGTCATTCACAGCTATTATGCAGCAACAGCTATTCTTAGCACTACCCTCTTCTGCTGCCATGTTCCTTTTTTTTTTTTTTTTTTTTTTATTTCTCACTTTCTTTCGTAAGCAGAGGGAATGCCCCTCAGCCATTGCCATCCTTGTAGGTTTCCCCGACTGTTATTGCCTTGCTCCTGATTTGCAGTGGCGGTTGCTCGGTTGGTTGTCTTTAATAAATTGTGGGTTTGAGGTCGACAGCTCGCCCTCTCGGAAATTATGATGAGAGAGAAAGAGAGAGAGGGACTGTGTTTGTGATGGAGGGTGAATAGATGGGGGGTGGAGGGGTGGACTGGCATTCACAGCTGAATAAGTGGGTCAGTTTAAGATGATGACGCCTCTTATCTCCTCGGCTCATCCCTGGGTGTTCACTGTTCACTGTTCGACTTTTCAGCAACCAACCACTGCACGGTCACACTTCCCTCTTCTCCAGTCTTCTGTTCATCCCTCTCTCTTTCTCAGCCCTATTACCCTACTTCTTCACAAACAGTACAAACACAAAGTAGCTACAAGGGTTTATAACCTACACTACAGCTAGCTTCACTTTTAAGGAGCTGTGATGTCGTCCATCTTTATAGTCTATGTTGAAAACTCTAGCATTCAAGCAATTGAGCATTGGGTGAGAGGATGAGGTTATAATGTTGTCAGATTCAAATTAAGTATCAAGAAAAGATGAGACTGAGCCTTAATATTCTCTTCTTAATTTCATGCATTATTCTTCCTTGTCGAAACCTGGTGCCCACGATCAAACTTCAGAGATTCGGGGGTGTTATGTTCGTGTTGGCTAATGTGGCCTTCAGCTAAAGAGAGATAAGGGGTCAGCTTCTTCAAACTTTTAGTTTACAACCACAGGGGGAACTCACTCAACTGTTGTCAGCTGGACCCACTGGAGGGAAACACATTATACAACATGTAAACATCTGCAAACTGCTGGAGTTGTCCTTATTGTGTGTTTTCACGCAGTTTGGCTTTGGTGTTCACCTTTCACCTGCAAAATACTAACTCACTATAAGTATATATACAATGTCATCTTATGGGACACATTTATTTAAATTCCCATATAGACAACAGGGCAGTGTTCGTATCAGATAATGTCCTCCGGTCAAATACTCCCTTTCTTAATCAGACCAGTGAAGTACCTCTCATTCAAAAAGTCAGATGTTATCAAAGTCTCTGCTTGAGCTCCGCCCCACTCTCTTTGTGTGGAGCGTCATTGATGACTTTGCCTTGGAAGGTTATTCCAGCCTAAGACGACGCAGTTACAATTGTCCTTCATTCAAGCTGCAAACCATTAAAAATGCAGCAGGATGGGGGTGTTTACTTTATACCTCAGCCACAATGCTTCGGATCAATCCAAAGGACCATCACATGAAAGTAATCAAGCTCCCATCATCAATAATGAATGTCACAATCAGCAGGGACAGTGGGCTTCTATTGTGCAATGGCTGAATGGGAGAGAGGAGCGCAGAGGAGAACTATTATGTATCACCACGTTGGTCAGCTGTTGTGAAGATGATGATTATGATGACAGTGGTGGTGATGATGATGGTGACATGAACTCCAGCTAACAGTGCAGTTTCCTGGAGGATGTCATTGTGACACATGCTAACATTCGAACAGGGGGGATGCAGCCTTATTTTAACCTACTGTCTATGCATGCGGGGATGCGGAATATTTATTTATTTATTTATTTTCGGGGGGACGTAGTCAAGGCGGGGGGCTGTTGTTGTCAAGGCGGCCGCCTTAACTATAAAGCGCTGCGGGAAACCCTGGATAGTATACTATACTTATATCCTATACTATACTTGTCTATGGTGTACTATGTGCTATACTAAACTATACACTATATGATACTTGTCTATACTATACTATTTCTCCTGTACTTTAGTGTTTGCAACAAGCAACTCACTCTGTGCACTGGTAATGTGATGCTGTAAGATATGACTTTATATAGAATTATTGCATTCTCTGTTACTGCTGACTTGTTGCTGTATAGTATAAATTTGTGTTGAGCTATCGTTGAAGAATGTTGAGATTAATATTGTGTCATGTATGTAAGTATAGACTTGATTTCTTAATAATTACACGAATGAAACTTTGTATATAACACACTCTACAGGGCTAAGTAAGGTGTTAAGATACTGGACCCTCTTCTTTGTGTACTGCACATTGCTTTACCTTGCTTTACCTCATGAGTCATGTACTGTCACTAAAACATTATCCAGACCACAGTCCAGCAGGGTCACAATCTCACGCAATGCAAACATTGACTCAGTATTGTTGAGGAGTTCATGTCAACACATGATAACCGTGGATCTCTCTAAGCATTTCCTCTCAACACCCCCTACACTCATTGTATCTGCTCCTGTGCACAATTGAGCTTCACAAATGCTTCCCGGTGATTGTGCTGGCTTGACTATACACTGCCTGTATTCAATAGGCTACCTTTGCTGATACGTGGGGGAGCATTTATTATTCAGTGCTTTTTAAAAACGTCCACCATTTTACAACCCACAGGAGGCAGGGCTGTTTAATTACAGACACAGTAACTACTGTTTCTGCCTTTTGTGTCCACCCCAACTTAATGCAACGCTTTGTTTACTACACAATGTAAAGACCTTTGCTGCTCTATGCATTAAAGTAATTCTTCTTTTATCTCTCTCCCCTCAGGTGGTGTTAGTGTTTGCACTCAGCATTGGGGCCCTTGGAATATACTTTATAGACTCTTCAGAGTAAGTATGAGATTCACGACATCTAACTGATGGGATATACATCAAATGAACTTTGCAACTATTTGTTTTGTGCATCTACAATGACCTACATACTGTGTGTGAATGACAGGTGCACATGCGTTCTTACTCATCTCCACACTCCGCAATCTCTGAAATGCAAATGAACATATTCACACCCCCACAAGCTCTCACAAGCAGTGATGATCCACACACACACACACACACACACACACACACACACACACACACACACATCTGTACGTGAGGATTTGTCAATGGGAGTCCTTTCAGTTTCCATGGTAACAGAGGCAGGGATATACTGTATGTGTTGGAGAGCTTGCTCAGTGTGTGAGCAAATGAGAGTGTGTATTGTTAGTTTATGCGTATCCCTCGCTGGCTGTCACCCAAAGACAGATTGCAGGCCTGGCACATCTCAGATAGCTGCTGCAGTTACTTTCACACAATAATTATTGAAGTCTTGTGGGTTTCTTACAGGTAAACAGATTAGACTCATTAGCTTAAAAAGCGTCTTCTTATATAACCCGATGGGGATGATGGATGCTAAGCAACTTCCTCCTCCAAGGGTCATGTTGACAGTCAATACTCAATAAATAATCAGAGTACTGGTTGGGTGCAGGCAACAGCTAGGAAATTGAAATAAAACCTCCGATATGTCATGAAGGTAACCGACAGCTTTTACCACTCTGTTGCATTTGTAATGTCCCAATTAGTGTTAATCACACAAGTGTATATATACATATCATTGTACATATGTATATGAATTTTGCATGTTACTAATGCTTTTTGCTCTTCACCTGTGGAAAAGCTCAAATTGGTCTTTAAGTGACGCCTTGAAATAAGATCTACAATAACTTTAACATGATCATCAGGCCAACCCTATATTTAAAACTAGAATGGCACTCAGTGGAACAGCTACCTCCATGAAGGCCCCATAGTCTCCTTAAATTGAAAATCAATTAAATTGAATCCAGCTGCACTTACCTGCACAGAGTCTGGACTCTCTAAACTCTAGATATCAGTGTGCCTAACCTTTTCATCAAGACCCATGAATTATTCCTGGGATATTGGTGAAAATGTTGCAAAAATTCCCAATCAACCCCCTGACTGGGATCCACACCAAAATTGAACGCGTTCTTCCCTGAGCAATGCTGCACCCTTCCATTAACTTTCATTATAATGCGTATAGTAGTTTTTATGAAATCCTAACTGAGACAAACAGGCAAAAAAACAACAAATTCAGATGAAAACATAACCTCCTTGGTGTGAAGGTCGTATACAGCAACTAACAACAGCAGCTAATCCATTTAAAATTGATTCAGTTTGATTTCCTTTGATTGGCAGCGTGATATTGAAAATGGCTCCAGTGAGAACAGTCCTAGTCTCTTTGTTCCTCAACAAATCAGATTGACGTGTATCATCAAATACACATATTTTATTCTGTGCTTTGGGTTAAATGATTCTGTTTTCTGGCCCCGACTTGTTGCTGCTGTTAATTATTCTCGTTTACACACCAGGCAACAATAAATAGCTGCTTTACACCGAATGTTTGCCGACAGCATCGCTACAGATTCAGTTAGTGTTCAGTCATTCATTCTGGAGTACCATGGTTCAGAGTGCACAGATTCCAAATTAAAACAAAAGAGGGGATTTATAGTTTCCACTTCTAACTCTGTGCCTTTGACTGCACTTTATTTCATGCACCATTGAGTGACCAAAATAAAGTGCAAAATATTTACTGTAGTCCTATTATTATGGGATGTTGATTGCAAAGGAGCCATAATCCATTGACCATATTACTGTTCAGAACACAATGTTCTGGATTGGCTTTTGTGCAGAATATTATGTTTAAGTAACAACTAGCTTCCTGAAGTTTGTTTTCATTTAATACAATATCTGTGAACTCTGAAAATGTGTCCCAGAGGGAACCAAGAATTCGAAAAACAGAGAGAACTAAAATCTAAAGAAGTAAATCTAAAATGCATTCACACTAACAGTTTTATCTTTAGCAGCAATGGGAAATTATTCCTGGCATGAATTCTGTCAACCATTTGTACCTTAGGATAAAAACCTTCACCACCTCCTCCTCCACATCTCTATCTCTATACATCCCTATGCTGCTCCCTCTTTGTGTCCCTGTCTGCCTCAGGCATATTTTTAGTATTAAAATATGAGTCACTAGATAAAGTTTCTTATAAAAGTGTATGAATGATGACTACGGATGATGTTAAGCGATTTCCCCTATCAACCACTGGCCGTGTCAATGATCAATTATCCACAAATGATTAAAAGGCTTGTAGGAATATCAAAAAGAGAAAATAATTAGAATTAGTTGTCACGATGATATAGCCTTAGTGACACAGCATGTTTCACTGACGGATACCAACATTGATGAGATATGTACAGGACAACAAAGGAGGAATGGTGAATTCAAGACCAATTCAGAACTGCATGAAAACATGTGGGCAATGGCAAGAACATTTCAGGCTCTCCTATTTCCTTTATGTTCCTTTTTCAAAGTGTTCAGATACCACAGTATGTCTACTTTCAGTGGAGGTGTACTCCCAAATGTTGTTTGCTATCCCCTGGGCTGGTTTTGGAGATGGTGTGGAAGTGTGATGGAGACAGGGGTAGAACAGAAGTGGGACATACTTGCCATCTGTTGGAGGGTGAACTTGACAGTTTTCTGCTGCCTTGATTTCCATCATTCTGAAAGACTTGCATAAAATAAACCATGTGTATAGGTCAAATATACTTTATTGTTCCATGGGGAAAATTGTCTTTTGCACCTGCTATAAAAACATTAAAAGGATATAACTGATAAAAGATGAAAAACTAAAACGGGCATTAAAACTATTGGGGTCGCATGCGCAAGAGATGCCGTCTCACCTGAAGTGTTAAATCGTTTAATCCATTTACCACTGCCACACAATCATACCTGACACCTCAGTGCTGCCAGTAATGCTCCCCCCTCTACAATGGTTTGCTTGATTATTGAGAGACAATATTGTCTATCGAATGTTAAGATAAGTGAATATTAAGGCTTTGGTTCTTCTCCTTGTAAATATTCAAATAATCACATATGGCTAGCAAATCCACATTTTAAAGCCAATATTTAATCAATAGTCAAAGTCGATCCATTGGTTTCCATCCTGCATTAGTTCTAATTACACCTATGAGGAGACTGCTAGGAAAATACATCGTCCAAAATCTAAAATGCCACAACATCAAACCTGCAGGTAACAGAGAGAAAATGGTTTTGCTACCAATGTGTTCTTCCTCTAATTGTTGCCTCTCTGCATTTTCTCATGTATGTTCCAGTGCATTCTGAGTGTATTTCAAATCGAGTCGTCCTCCCGACGCACTGCCCTGATCTCTCTGTGCTCCCATTAAGCTCTAAGGCTCTCTCCACCCTCATCATCGTGATTAGCCCAAGCTTGTCACTTCACTCGGGGCCTTCTGATCGACCCGGAGCAGGTTTAACTGTGGGTGCTTTGACCAGGCTTGTGCTATAGCCGTTTTCCTTGAAACAGCTGGGACCTCTTACCTCGGGTTGATACAGACAGTGGCAGCCGTGATTGGTCCATTTGACAGCATGTCTCGTCCATGTCTCTCGGTGAGAAAACAAAGTGGGACATGCTGGTCCTGGGTTAATCAACTTGTGTGTGGTGTTGTATGTGAATGCACTACCTGAGTTAATGTCGAGACTTTACAACCCTCGACTCAAATGCTAAACCTGCTCCACAGATGACCTTCCATTTACCTTTCTTGCCACTAAATGTTAATGACTGAGGAAATCAATGAGCACAGATTTATAGGTCACCGTTTGAATGGTAGTAATTACTCTCTACCAAATACTGAGGATCTCATGGTGCAGACTGGTGAGCTACTCTGGCTTAAAGGTTTGTTTCATCCCCTTCTCCTTCAAACCGCCATGTTGACCATCAGATGAAGTGAACTTCATTCTGAAATTGTCTGTGAAAAAGGCAACAGTAATGGGATGGATTATGGTTGAGTTCCCGTGGTAACAGCGAAAAAGATACAGGAATAAGTGTGTGTGGGATAGACATCAGGAAGGTGGATATGCACAATGGGGTTTTATGTCTACTTCAGTGAAACTGGGTAATCCCACGGGGAAAAGACACACACACTTATAAAGGCACACTGGGAGAAAAATGCTGGAGGAGCACACCACTGTGGCAGCCAGGCACCAGTCTCCCAGGAGCTGTTTCCTGCAAGTGGGGCTTTCCTAGCAGGAGCCCTGTTGCCCAATATCCTGCAGCAAAGATTCACAGAAAAAAACACTGCGAAGCCTTCTGTGAAAGCAGGTACACAGAGTTTGAGAGGCAGGATTTTATAATTGGATACCCTCCCAGTTGAGCGCATACCAGTCATTGACTTGGCAGCTGAGGAGTCGTTGCTAAGAAGCCATTTCTTTTTCTTTTTTTTGAATGGATCTGTATCTTCACTGAGAATCACTGGCCATCTGTTTGTTTTCACAAAGTGGCTGTTTATCACAGTTCTGCACAACACATAATAATGCACAATAAAACCAGCCTTTTCTATTCCTCTGCAGCACACATCACTTGCCAAACTGATGCTATTTTGGTGATGCTTTCAAATGAGAGGATACTGCATCCTCTCCCGCCCACATCTGAATCTGCTTTAATACCTTGGCTCATCCTTCATCCCGTCTTTTTCCTCCTCTGTGCTCCCATGAAACAAATAATGAGGGAATGTAGGACAGAGTCTCTGCAGGCCGCTCCTAAAGGGATGCCCTTGTTCCTGCTCCACTTCTGTGTCTATTTCCCTCCTCTCTCTAGCCCTCCCTGTCACACATGCAGACAATTACATGCACACACATTTGCATAGTCACGTTTACTTGCAGAGGCACACGCATGCTATGTAGACACACAAACACAATAATGTTGCTTCAAGCTGTTTTTTTCAGACGCGAGCTCCAGACGAGTTTACCTTTCACA